TCTATTATATGCATTAATATACAATATAACATTATATTTAAGCTCTCAAACCATAACAAGATACTGTTGTTGTTGTTGTTATCCACTGAGACCTGCTTGTGAAGTTCTTTTAGTAGGTGTCGAACTGCACTTGGTCGTCGCCGGCGACGAGTAGCTTCGGGACATAGATCCGATCGTTCTTGGAATCATACCATGATACTGAAATGTCACAGTTTTGTATTTGTTATACTATCTCTCCCTTTTTCTTTCCATGATGTCGTCATAACTAATTTCTTTACTTTATTTGATAACATTCCACCCGGCCATTCTTGGAACCATACCATAATACTGATATGTCACAGTTTAGCACTTGTTATTGCTATCTCTCTCTCTTTTTTCTTTCCATCATGTTACCATAACTAATTTGTTCACTATTATCTGATGAGATTCGACGGCTAGCGAATCTTGCACTCAATATCTCAACATTCATATCGTTAACTATTATTGGTATATACCCCATAAATTCACTGCCACAAATTTACTAATTTTGTGCGGTACACTGTTTCCATTAACAAAACCTAAGGACTCTTTTCCAGTCTGTATGGTATTTTTCGAAAAAAATTTCTTTAATATTACGAAAATTTACACACTAAGTTTTCTATTGAATTTTACAAGCTTAACGGCACTTTTATTATTCAATTTTTATAAATTGCTACTGACGTTATTATTGCAACTGTTTTCTTTATATTAACATTAACAGTATTTACATAGAGATTAGCTTTAGAAATGTTAATCTAACAAAATTGTCCACCATTTTTTTCTTTCTTTCTGGCATGCCCTTAATAAATAACAACGATGTCAGCCTAAAGATCAGATGTTAACATTTGCGACTATGGGCTTATTAGGTAATAAGGATATAAGCTCTTCCTCGATAAACAAAACTTACGCTTATAGGTCACTTATCCCAACTGTACGTGGGTATGGCGCAGACGTTATCACAAAATCATAAAGCAGCATTGGAAGTATTTGATAGAAAAGTTCTTCGTAAGATCTCTGATCCTCTACAAGTTGACGAAAACTATCGCATCCGAATGAACCACAAGCCCAAAGAGCATTTTCACTACATTCATATATTTCAGCAAATTAACATACAGCAGTTTCGCTATTTTAGTGATGCCGTGAAAATAGATGATTATGGAAAGTGGAAGCGTAAAGTTAGACCGTATATTCTATGGTTTGATTAAGTGGAGATTGGAGAAGATGCGCACGGAACAGAAGCGCCTAGGGAGACATGCTATGTCAGGCCGAAACCCAGTATTGAGTTGTGCTAGCAGCTGTTAGCTAGCACTTTCGAAAATGTTTATTACTACATTATATATACATATATAACTTTTTGTATGAAGAATTTATTAACAAAAAGGTAATGTGTCCAAGTAATGATAATATTATATTTATCTGATATGATTGAATATGTATGTTTAACAATGAGGAGAAGGAAACATCAGAACATGTTCAATGCAACTGCCCAGCGGTGGCAAGACGTAGACTCGATTACCTTGGAAGCGGGATATTAGTCCCAAGTCAAATAGGTAAAATTAAGCCCACAGCAATTACAAGATTTATAAGTAGTCTAAAATTGTCCTAGTTGGGCCTTTAGGCGCACAATAGATCTTTTAGGTCAGGGTGTTTTAATAGCCTATTACTTAAAATAAAAATAAAAAATGTTTAACAAAATTTCTATATAAATTATATCCTTATTTTCTGATATTATTCCTTTTAATTTTATTTAAGATTATTTTATTCTTAGACATTCTATAACTGTTTACATTTTGCCGCTGTTTCCGTTATTATTATTTTTGTTAATGGTTTCATATATACATTAGAGCTAAGTTGAGAACTTTGCGCTTATTCAAGATAAAAAGTTTGCTTTGAAATTGATAACAATTTAACAATCCAACGTCAGAAATCAAGAATATGACAATCAGAAGAATGGCCTTAAGACTTTTTTAGCGAATGCTGGGTTTGCGTGATTCTTTTTCCAACTTAAGAAGAAAACAGTGGTTATCAATGCACTAAATTGGTTGCTTTCTTTATTTTACCAAGAACAGAAGTAGTGTCACTTAAACAGATTTAACTCAATACTAATGACCTAAAAATCATATTAACTCCCATGTAACAACCAACCTCTACTATCAACCTATTACCATTGTATGATGGCTTGATTACGTTATCCAAAAAGATAAAACCACAGAAAAACAGGAAAACCACAAAATCGATGACGAGGCGCAGTACAAGACCTAAACTAAACTCATTAACACTCCAAATTACTAAATCAAGACTAAATACTGTGAAAGAAACTCGAACCCACATCAACCCGATGTTAAAAATAATTATGATACTATGCATATATAAATAACAATTGTACCTATTTACTTATTTATATATTATTCATCAAAGTAAGATTTCTAACTATGGAATTATTTTGTTTTGGTGCTAATCACTGAGGGAAAAATTCATTATTCAGGCAGCTCTAATTATAACCAGCTCTGATCTAAAGTTGGCAAGCTGATTTGCGGCTAGCTATACATATGTGTGTGTAGATTGTGCGTTATGTTGATCTCCAAATTTAATGCTAATTTGTCCAGAAATAGACGAAATCACAGATTTAATGGATTTAGTATTTAGATTAATACTTTATTCTTACTTTTTCTAGTATTATTTTACTTAATATAGTATTATTTTGAAATCTAGTGATCATTTACAGATATAGCCCTGCTGTTGTTATTGTAGCCCGCAGATATCGGCATTTGGTCGTCGTACATCCCAGTCGGGTGACTCTGAGATGTAGGCTCGCCCGTTCTTAAAACCACAGATATAGCATTAATATACTACAGTGTTGTTGTTGTTCTTCGGTTTGGTAATAACCCATTATAAATAATGATTCTAACTTTAAGAGCAAACCCGACTTAAACTGCTTGCCTAGCTCAGAGACTTATTGATCTATTTGACGTCTTTCCTTGAAATAAGTGTTGAAAAGCAGAACTTTAGCAATAAGAGCCATAGTAAGTGTCTCTTCTAATTAGGGCTACAAACGGGTTCTGACCCGTTGTTACCTAATTTTTGGGTATAGATGCTTACTAACTAATGGCTTATCAATACCATCATTATTTTTTTTACTTCACTTCTGACTTTGCTTAATAGAATTTTCGTTCCTGTTAAGCTGTTGCATGTTTATGTTCGTTTGACTTTCTCATATATTATTGTAACATATTTTTACGGATCATACTATTATAGTCTCGTGTAAAAAAGGATCTGCGCTTTATCCACTAACCAATCGGTTATTAATCATATTACTACTTTTCCTACTACGGTTCAGACTCTGCTCAGCAGGATTACCGTTCCCGATAAGTTGTAGCACTGTAATGTTAGCCTGAATTATCCCCGCATATTCAATATATTTGTGCTTATATAGTCACGTACAAAAAAAAAGGACCTAAACCCGATGCCTACTAGCCATTAACTTATGAACACTTATATTAGTTTTTCTACTTCGCTTATAATTCTGTTCAGTAGAATCTTCATTTCCGATGAATTATAGTAATGTCATGTTAGTTTTAATTATTCACATATTCGATATGTTTATGACGGATAATGCTTATAAAGTCTTGTGCAAAGAAGTTCTAAAATATGATTCCTATTGATCAATGGCTTATCGATACTACCACTACTTTTCCTACTACTTTTCAGACTCTACTTAGTAAGATTATCGTTTCTGATAAACTGGAGCATGTTCATGTTAATTTGGATTTTTTCCATATTGGCTATGTTTGTGATGAATTATGCTTATATAGTCTCTAAACTCGAAAAATTTCTTGAAAGCTGTATTTGACAAATACATTTTTAAGCCCCTTTTTTGATTATAGTCAAGAGGCGGTATTAGTAAGTAATTTAACTAGATACATTCAAAACTGAAGTGATTTTCTTATATTTTTTTTTTAATTTTCCACAATAGTTTACAGATATAGATTATAGATATATTTAATTATAGTCAAGGCGCGGTATTAGTATGTCAATTTGACTAGGTGCCTTTAAAACTGAATTGATTCATTCTATATTTTTTTGTTTATTTTGAAAACAGATTATAATTAATAATTTATCTGTTGAATAATCTGTTCTTGTAATCTGTTTTTTTGTATTTTATTTAATTATTTATTAAATATAACAACAAAATATAACAATACAGATCTTCCTATATCATATTGCTTTAGACCCATCTGTTTCTGTCTTTTTCTATTTATTTTTATGAAGAAAAAAAACTTATAATATTTGCATATTATATAAAACCATATTTATATATATATATATATAAATATGTCAAGATACATATATATATTTAAAAGAATTTATAATAATTACAACAAATTGAAGAGATTATGAAGTATTCTTTGCCAGAAAACAGCTGAGCACGAACTTCTGAGAAATTAAGTGATATGCACATATAGAGATAATATATATATATAAAGCTATATACATATTTGTCAGTGCAATATGTCATGCATGCATTTTAATGAAAACCACTTTTATTGAGGCAAGTGTTTTTATATAAACATTTTAAAATGAGAATTAATTTTAAAATGTAAAAAGAAAAAACAAAAAACAAAGAAAAATGCAGTTTACTTTAAATATTTGCTGATTTATTGCGATTGCAATGAAAACTGATATTTATTTTAATTTTATGGGATAGTATTGAATATTAATATCTCATAATTATATCGTTTTGAAGACACACTTGTGTATATCATGTTCTAGACCTTATTGTTATAGAGTTATCTATAAACGAACAAATGAATCATAGAATTTTCTAAATAATATAAATTATTTAAAGCAAATAATTTGTAATCAATTAATAATAAAAACATATTTATATTTTAATAATATATATAAATGTATATATATAAACACTTGTGCGGAGACACAAATACGAAGTACAAAAAAAAAAGAAGCACAAGTGCAGCACCTACCTGAATTGTAGTAGTCATCATAATCGTCGTTGTCTGAATATTCCATGTCCGACATTATAGCAGCCTTGTTTTTGAAGCAATGTTACGGAGTCGTGGTTGTTGCAAATTTAAAACCAATATTTTTATATTCTACTATATTGTTTTTTAAAACAAACCACAGTAAAGTGCACTATATCTACTCCTACCAAGAGAGGGGTGAGGTTGGTTGTAGTACACAGATTTTCTGTTCAAATATTATTGCTGGCGCTGGTGGTGGATGTTGTAAATTGTAAATTGACTCACTCACTACGTACATAAATACACTATGGGGTGGTTTGTAGCTTGAAATGGATGTTAAACATATAGATTATAACATTTTTCTTATAATTTAAACTTAATTTTACACTTTTACTATATTTATTAATAAACAATTTGTTGTAGTGAACACTTTAAGTACAATTCCATTTCATTTACTAATCACGAAGTACACTGCGTGGGGTATTTCTTTTTTTTTTTTACTACCATAATATTTCAACCGTATTCATTATAAAGTTAATTCATTTATATTAAACAAAAATTATACACTTTATTCTACAATCTACAATCGAAAATTTTCTATATTACAATCGTTTGTTTTATTCACTTAAACATTTTAGATAATTCATGTATACGATTGAACGGCCGTGGAGAAATACAAACAATAGCAGGAAAAAATTTTCTGTCTTCTCGTCGTTCTTCCAACGTTAAGTTAGTTGCGTTTGTATTTAAAATTCACAATTTTCAACGAGTACTGCATTATCGATACACCTGTTCGTAACAGCTGATATGAGTTTAGCGCACGATTAGTCAATAAACGCTTTAACAACTTTGTTTACACATTAAAACAGCAAATTATATATAGTTTTTAAAATTAAAATCTAACTTTCTCAACAAATTTTTAATAAGTAAATCAACAAACTAATGTTTCATTATGGAACCAAGTGCAAAACGTTCAAGATTACAACAAAATCTAAATGTGAAAATAAAAGCTATATTATCGGATGCATATAATTTAAACCAACCATTGGAAAGTGTTTATATATGCCAAGTGAATAATAAAAAACAAATATCAGTTATTATGAAACAATTAGCCGAATTGCTACCACTGACAACGCTGCAACATCTTAAACGTGTTAATCAAAATAATATTATTATATGCAAATCTAATGATCTTGCCGAGTTGCCACTAAAAACATACCTACAGAATGCGAAATTAAGTCCTGATATAATTGCAAATATTATCGACAATGTTAAAAAAATTAAAGTTCCCGGTGCCGCAACTAAATTACGTATGCAATACACAGTCATGCATAAATTATGGCCATGCAAATTTCATCCTGACAAATATATGGAATCACTCTATGATGGCACTAATTTTACAATAACGCAAAAAAATTTTCATACCAAAATGACAAATCTAATTTTAACACTATCCAACGTCTTGGAACAAAATAAACCGTTTGGTATTTGTATTGATCCACGCACAAATTCAATAGTTGCCTTAACAGCTAGTAAAACAGATTTAAGCTCTGTTATGCATTGTCCTATGGTATTAATAGATTTAGTAGCAAAGACACAAGAAGGTGGTGCTTGGTGTACAAAATTAAAAAATCTTCGCACATCAAATGAAGAAAATTGTAAGGATTTTAATAAACTAATGCTAAATGGAATTGACAATAAATATTATAATTTTATTAA